AAATTTTTTATTAAAAAAATCATTTTTCTTGGTAATATAGATTGATAGCTGATCGTTTCGTGGTATGTATGAAAAAATCACGTGATATAAGTTAATCAACCGTACAAGTCACTATTCGTACAGTACAAAATAGCGTTTCGTATCGTACAGTTTACCTGTATACCCAAATCTTACAATACGTCATTTCGAAAATATTTAAAATATTCCAAGCCAAAAATAATGCTTCAAAGATACATTATTAGAACTTTTCGATCAACGTCAGATATAACGCAAAACCAAGGAATATTATCAATTTCATCTGATAAAATAAATGTATTTCCTGTTAAACATTATTATAATGATGATTTAACTAAGAAACTTGTGGTATTTAATTGTCAATTTATTAATAATAGTTATTAGAATCATAATAATAATAATATCATTATTATTGACAAATTATTATATATAATAACAATTATAGTCCATATTTGAAATGGATAAAGTAAATGATGTGAAAAAAATATATATTCCAATCTGGATGTGTTCATTAGCAATCGAAACCAAATATGAGTGGCATCGTTATAACAGTAATTTTATTGATGGTACAGAAATATTTTCTTCCATAACTGCCACAGGACCGATTTGTATTCACGGAACTGATAATTATGAGTTTAAGTAAGTTGATTAAAGAATTATGAATTATTGAATTACTGAGTTATTTAGATTCGAAATCTCATGTCATTGTTCGATGAATTCGAAAAAATTCTTTTCTGTGTTCACAATTCTCTAAATGATCTGATATCGCAAATTATTTGATTATTTAAATTCTTAATATTGTTAATAATTTTATAGAACATTAAATTTCAATCACATAATTCGTAATTCAATTGACCATAAATGGGGAAATAAACCATTAATAATTAAGGAAGGATGGATTCAAAATTTAAAATCAAAAATGTTTAGTGGCGGAATGAGTAATCAAAATAGTAACAACATTTTTAATGATTTAATTCCTATTCAAAATAATATCTTTGATATTGATCCCAAAGATAATATTCCTTCTATTATCCTTCCGTTTAAAACAAATCCTATTAATCTTATTTTAAGAATTCCTCAAGCTTCTACAGGAAAATTTAAAGGAATTCGTAACAATGAAGTTATTGGGAATATTTTACAATTTGAAATTAAATTATTCAATATTTATCCTATTTATAGACCAATTTACCTTATTGATTATATTTCTAAAGGAGGTACTTTTCTTTCTAAAAATCCTTCTACATTGCACTTTGATGCTTATTCAGGAAAAGGTTTATCTCACGTTCATAAATCAGGAGCTTGCCTAAGTTATTTTGATCATCCAAATATACCAATTATTCCTTTTGGTAAAGTTATTTCACTTGCTCAAGAATACATAGATAACAATTTTGATAATACGGAATTATATTCAACTCCTATTGATTGGAATTCTCAATTGATTCAATCATTTATTGACAAGGGAATAGTGAATCAGAATTGGTTACGATTATTATATAGAACTGAGAGAGCCAGAATGGTAGCACATATTCAATGGTGCGGATTTATCTTAAGAATTTTGGCCAATAAGAAAAATAATACAAAAGATCTTCGTGATAAATTAGTGTCATTTGAAGAATTTTTAAAAATGTATCATTCACCTATGCTATGGTTGAAACATTATAAATGGGATAAAATTAAAGATTTATTTTATACTACTTTAAAAGATCAATTAATAAAAACTATGCCATTATGGATACGAAAAACTGATTTCAACAGCGAAAAATCCAGAAATTCGCAAAAACAAAAAGAATTCTCACCACCATCACCACCACCAGCAAGAGAACCTTTAAAATCATTTAGTAATAATCAAGAATATAAAAAACAATCACCACCACCGCCACGACCAAAATCATCAAAATCATTTAATAATCAAGAATTCAAAAAACCATCACCATCACCACCACCGCCACGACCAAAATCATCAAAATCATTTAATAATAAAGAACCATCACCATCACCACCACCGCCATCTCCACCTCCAGAGAAAATTTATGATCCACAAGGTTATTATAAGGTTTTAGGATTGGGTCATATCACTTATATACCTAATGATGAAAGGATTAAATTAGCTTTTTCTACTATTTTGAAAAAAATTGAAACTATATTTGGAGCTCATATGCATTTGAATCCTGAACAAAAAAGTCAAAAGGATTTAATTCTTAGAAAAGTTATTGAGGCTAGACATGCTCTTAAGACACGTAAGTATATTATTTATTATTTTATTTATTGTTATTTTTATTATTTATTTTTCTATTACTCTATTATTTTATTTATTAATTTTTTTATGGTTTTACAGAAAATAAACGAAATGAATATAACAGTAAAAAAAAGGATTTTCAATAGGGTTTTGATAATAGTTAATTGAGAATAATTTAAAATATTAATATTTTTAAATTAGAAATATTTTAATATCAAAAACCGAAGTAAACAAAATAAATAATAGAAATAGATAAAATAATGTTATATATTAAATTTTCTGAATGTTAAGATAACTATTCAATATATCTAACAAATAATTGTGAAAATTTATTTTTATATTATTATTATTCATTTTACAAAATATTTGTAATAATATTTGTAATAATAATAATTTCATCCTGATTTTGATATTTAACCAATTGAATACCTTGAGCATTTAAAAAATACTATTTGCTAATAGTAATTATATTAATTCTTTGTATACACATATAAATAAGGTATAATATAATAATAATAATAATAATAATAAAACCAAAATGTTACTTACTACGGTAGTAGTAGTGGTATTAATAATATTTTTTTTATTTACACTATATAATATATTCTAATAAATATATATTTCAAACTTTTTCTTTTCACTATCCTAAAACGAAGTTTTACTATTATAATTATTGTATTATTGAGATCAATAGATAGTAGATAATAGATAATAAAAACTTGATTTTGATTTGGTCAAGAAAAATTATTATTATTATTATTATAACCATAATTATTATTATTATTATCATTATTATTATTATTATTATTATTATTATTATTTATTATATAGGAATCATTTTCTGGAGTACTACACATGCGAGGAGAATCAGGTGTTAATACTATTTTATAAATAGATCCTTTCTTATCATCACTAGAAGAGGCTGGGGAAGGAATACGTACTGGTGAATGTATTGGTGATGAATGGAATAAATTATTGTCAAGAATGTTATACTTATTATTGGAAGAATTATTAATGTGAGGAGGAGTAGAAGGAGAAATATATGATGGATTATTATAACCAAAAGTATTAGATCGGTCATAATTTTTTAATTCATTATTGAAATCATTAGTTAGGGAAGTGAAAGTGCTTGGTGGAAATTCTTCAATTTTTACGGTAACAACTTCTTCTACTGTAATTTGTGATAAATGTTTAAAAGATGTGGAAGGTTTAGGAAATTTAGGAAATTTAGGAGAAGGAAGAGGGGATGAGGAAGAAAAAGAAGAAAAAATTTTTGTTGGTGTTAAATAAGAACAACGGGAAAGAGTGGAAGTTATACTATTATCATTTTTATGAGTTTTCCTTATTAAATTTCCTTTCTTCTCTATATCATTTTCCCTTTCATTATCATTTACATTGTTATTTTTCCAATAATTTTTATAATATTGAGAAGGTTGATAATGTAAAGTAGTAGCCCCAGCATTAGATGTGCCAATAATACCAGATGATCCAACGGTAGAAAAGCCAATACCACCAGTTCCAATAGTGGAAGTACCAAAATTAGAAGCACCAGCACCAAGATTAATTGTTGATAAATAAGTAGAATCAGTTGAAGTTGGCGGTGATTCATAATTATCCCATAATCCTTCATTTATAATGTATTGAATCATATTTCCTACTCCACCTAGATTTATAGTGGCATCTGTTAAAAGATAAATCCACATTGGATCATACTTATAAATATTATAAAATAAAATAATAATAATAATAATAATAATAATTTATTAGAGATAATGTATCATATAATATAATAATAATATAAAATAATAATAATAATAATAAATAAATAAATAAATAAATAAATAAATACTTACATTAATAATTTGACCCATAACATAAACCATTGGTGGTGTCCACTGTAATATAAAAATCAACACATATCCAATAATCTTTCTTACTACAATTGGTTCAATCTGTTTAGATTTTGAATTATCACATCTGGATTCACATCTATTATTATTATTATTATTACATCCAATAATAGCAGTGTTAGGAGCTTTACGTGGCTCTTGATTAAAATTAATGGAATTTATTCGTTTTAAAGTCATCGTATATGAAAATAATGTGATGGCCAATACTGAGAAATTTAATATAAGAATTAATATTGGCAATATTTTATTTTTACGATTGATAAAACACCTAAAGAAATTAAAAAGAAAGAAAGAAATAAATAAATAATAAATAAATAAAACATTAATATTATTAAAAATAATAAATAATTAATAAATAATTAATAATTAATTAACACACCAATATTTACTAGCTCCTAAACTTGGAATTCCGATCAAGGTAAGTATAAAAGAGAGTAATATCAAGAAACAAAATAACTTGTAATCAAATTTACCCAAATCGATATACCATTTTCGACATATTCGTAGATAAGTAAGTACTGCTAATGTACCAACCAATATCATGTTGCATCCGATAAAGAAGAAAGTTATGGCACCAATTATACGACATTTATTTTCGGGCCAGGGATAACCTCTTAATAGTGGATATAACTGTTTGTGTGTGTGTTATATGTGAAGTGGAAGTATTAGTGCGAGTTAAATGTTAAGTGTTAAATTTGAGTTATGAGATGAGAATACTTACCAGATTTGGAATATGTGTACAAGTTAAAAATAAATCTAAAATATATATACATACATATTTAATAAAAAAAAAAATAATAATATATAATGACAATTAGCAAAATGACAAGTAAAACTTACCAGAGATAGCAATATAAAAAGGTACACGTAAAGCCATAGATAAAGATCTCCGCGAAATCCACCATCGTGTCAATATTCTAATTATTACATATATAGTACAAATACCACTGGCTATTACTAAAGACATACCCAACGTTATTACTATTTCCGAACCAGGTATTCGAGAATTATCTTGAGGTATTATTGATGGATTAGAAGAAATGATATTAGGAATAGAAGAAGAAGTAAAAAGAGTAGTGGAGGTGGCATCGTTAGCGAATGTAACAGTAGAAGTGATGCTAGTTATAGTAGGATCATCCATGAGAAAATAAATTTATTTTCGAAAGAGAGGGAGGTGGATAATTTGGATAATTTGGAATTCACGGGGTATAAGTTTTTTTAAGTTCTATGGTTAAATATGGTTAAATATGATTAAAATAAAGTCTAGATAAAATTCTAATAACTATTTATGACTAATGTGAAAAGAGAAAGAGGGATCAAAAAAAAAAAAGAAAGAGAGAGACCAATGAAAATTTCAAGTTATAAATGCAGAGAGGAGAGTAAAAGTATGGATATATGTAAGAAGTTGAATGTTTTGAATAATTTATCTCTATTGTGTATAATAATATATAATACAATGTGCATAGTACAATCTATCTATATACAATATAATTTTTCTGTAAAATAAATGAATCAAGAATTGAGCCTGAATTTTTTTAAAGGAATAAAGAAATTGAAACATATTAAACCATCTTGGAAGAATATATATATTTATAATTTATGCATTTTAAAAAAAAAAGCCACAAAAAAAAAATAAATATATTATGCCTAAAACGGTTAAAAAAAAAATGTTTTTTTGTGTTTTTATTCGTGTGTTTTTTTTTTGGAGGGAAATGAATCATCCTGGCTTTTTTTATGAACGGAATTAGATATGCCAAATAAATAGATAAAGTAAATAAATAAAGAAAATATAAATAAAATAATAAATAAAAAATAATAATAAATAAAGTAGAATATGTGCGTATAATATGCATACTCGAAAAATAGAGTAAACAATAACTTTAGTTAAACTAAAATTGACAAGATATTCATTTGTTTGTCATATATGTCAAAGACATGTCAAACAAATAGAATTTCTTTTTAATTCAATTTGGGCATCACATTACTGGAGAATTCGTATCACAGAAGAATTAATAGAACACTACCGAAAATGAAAAAAATTTACTAATTTTACTAAAATGACTAAAATGGGTATGATTATAGTAAAATATAATATAATAAATAATATAAAATGCCAAGTCAAGTTATTTTTCGAAATTGTATTTAAAAGATGTGTATACATTTTAATTTATTTATATAAAAGTGGATATATGATCTTTATACGTAGATTAAAAAGAATCAGATAATACAAATTATTATTAATATATGATAGTTTCAAATATAGTATACAGTGGTTTTAACTGATAAGCTAAAACCTTAAATGCTTAATTGTACGTTTTAGACAACTCGATATTATTTTACAATTTCTTTTCCAATTATGGGATTACATAATATTCATAATATAATATGTACGACTTCCGGAATATTATAAATTTAATACTTTTTAGAATACAATGGACTCGTAATGTTAGCCCTCGGTTAAAAATTTAAACGCTCGTTATTTATTTTAAAATGGTCATATGACTTTACGAAATTATAATGGTTTCCATTATATAATTAAATATAATTAATAAATAAAGCCAGTTGGGGACACCGAGATATATATACCGTATCCTACCGTGAATAAGCACCACTTTTTAAATAACATTTTTTACCTGAAATCAAGTGTCGTGCTTATTCTCGGTAGTAAAATTTATATTTAAATCATAATAATTTTGGTCATATATAAATCATTTTTCAAATTATTACTGATGCTTATACACGAGGGGCACTAGGATAATACATAAAAAATATATAGTAAGTAAGATAAAGTATTTATTATACATTCACTAATAAAAAAAAAATGACTAACACAAATATTGTTAGCCAGAAAAATTAATAAAGCGTACAGCCTTGACTACTAACTAACAAAGTTCATGTGCTGAACTAAAAACAAATAAACAAATTATAAACATTAGAGAAATAAAGTAAATCGTCGGATGGGTCGACGGGTTATAGAGTTGAATATTTGAATATTTGAACAAAAAGTCAAGCTTCTATTTACACAATAAAGTATTATAAATAAACAACAGATATGTGTAGAATTCTTTTTACTTAGAGGTTAAAAGATGATTAATATAATAAAATTTTGAGTTGTTAACGATTTTTATAAATCACAAAATGAATTACTGAAATTTATTATTATTTTATTCTACTCAATGCGTAATAAATCTTAATTTTCATTCAAATTTTTGTTTTAATTTAAAACTAGATATTTTAAGAGGATTTTTTTTTCTTTAGTTGTTTGAGTATTGGAATCATTTTCTGATATTAAAAGAATCCGTTATTTACTCCTACGAGCAATAAAACTATAAATTATCATACGGGACATGATAATAATAATAACTGTCAAACACACAATTGGTTAAAATTTTTGTCAATGACTTTTTACTATGAGGTTGGAAGAGTTTAAAATTTGTGACCTATGTGACTTTATAACCATCTGGAATGAACTATTTAATTTTTTTTTATATATCTAGCATTAGAAAGCTTAGGATTAGTATTAGAACCATTCACATATGAACTATATCATTTATTTTAATATAAAAATTTTCTTAATTATTTAAAATTATGGGTATTTACTTAACATGGATCACATATACACAAACGGGATTCCAATAACAAAAAATGCTAGTATGATGTAATATTATAATTATTATTTTATTTATTTTGTTATAAATTAATATTCCGTATTTATTAGTATCAATCAATTATAAGTTAATACTTATTATAATAATGAACCATTTTTTTTGACGATCCGCTAATATAAACAATAAACCAATATTCCTCAAGAAATTTATAATATTGAATGTTGGGTAAGTAAAGGTTTAAATATAAAATTAAAATCCCCCCCCCCCCCCTCCGATAAAAATATTTTATTATAATCTAAACTAACAGCAATTGATATGTTATAGGAAGATTACCTTCTAGAATTAAAATAATTAAAAATCACGTTAACTATTTATATTGCTGCTTAAAATTTTCTCACTTGATGTACCAAGAAATTATTAATAAGAAATGAAATATAGTTAAAATTCAATTTTTTTTTTTTGATTTAATAGAAACAAATTCGTTTTTTCTAACACAACGAGAAACCTTTAAAAGTCATATTATTTAACACATTAAAGCATGTATCTTTCATATGAATTTATTTTTGCTTTATTTTATTAATTAATTCAATGTTCCGTCTTAAGATACGATCATAGTAATAATAGATGATCGTCTCGGTAGAAATGCATTCACAATCAATAACTTAACTTAATAACTTGTGCCTATTTCAGCTAATAATTTACCAAATGGAATTATCGTTTATACTGGTGGACGAGAATCAACTCAATAAATTATAATTTAAAGTTAAAATAATAAATTATTTTTATAAATAAATATTATATTTTTATTATCAAATAGATTAAACTTTTTGATACAAATAAAATTGAATTGTCACAATGACATTGTATTTAAAGTTCCTAACCGTTCGGCCCGGTTCCGGTTCAGTTTCAGTTCATTAAAATCAAAACTGGACGATCCCCGTTCAGTTCAGTTCGGTTTCCGTTTCTTTAGCCAAACCGAAATATTTTGGTTCGGCTATTTTTTTTTGTTGCTATTGTCTCCTAAATGAAAAAAAAAAATCAATTGGTTAACGTAAATACAAAAAGAATTTTATTCTATTTATCTTATTTTCTTTTGCCGTCGCCTTTTTTCGTCGTCTTTTTTCAGTCATCATTTTTTTGTTGCTATTTTTTTTGTCGTCGTTGAGAACCATTACTATCTTATTATGAACATTTAAAATTAAAATTAAATTTTTACAATTTCTATACATAATATTAAATTATAAATATTTTTTTTTTTAAACTGTAGTGTATTGCGTTTTATAATTAATCAAATTTTATTATAATAATTACCATTTTGAACTGGTGCAGTTTCGAGTTGATGTTTTTCAATTTCGGGCCTGTTTTTAAATTTTGGTTCAACATTAGAACCGAACGAACCATTACATTGGGAGCATTAATTGTATTTAAGATTTCTTTTATATAACATAAAAATAACTTGTCAATTATATTAAGAATGCCACTGGTGAGGAAATTAACTCGAGAGTTTATTTTACTTCCGTGGTATTTGAAATAATTAAAGCACCGGGGAATGATAAAATTCGAAAATAATTACTAAAATTAAAATGTTAATTGTTGTACAATGAGTAATCTAAATTGTACAAACTTTTTTTTTATTCGATTCCCCTAAACTAGGGCTATCTTATGATATATTTTGTGATAAAATTGAATATCTATACATAGAGATATTACGCTTCAAATGAAACTGACAAAAAATAATAAATTTATTCTTAGATCATTACCTATACCGCATTCGATGGGTATTAAAGATAGATACCAACTATCTTATATGAAATTGTAACCAGAAATAATATCTACAACTTTAATTATTGACATTTTTCTGTTACCTAATAAAAATTTTGACTTCAATTAGATGTGAAAAAAAAACGACCGAAATTTAAAAAAATAAAAAATATAATAAAAAAAAATCGAAAATAATTATATTGATTGTTTATACCTGAAAAACTTGATTATTTATTAACTTAACAATAAATGTGGTATTAAGTTACCTTTAAGCCTGAAATATGGAGCATCTTTTGTAAAAATTTCAGCTTTATATATTAAGAATTGAGAGAATAATACACAATTAAACTTTAGAGTATAATTTTAAAACGTCCGATATTTAACTGTTAATATTAAACTTAATTCTCAATTTAAAAATCTAGATGTTCCATATAATAAACTTTAACTGTACTTTTATTGTTATATTAATTAGATAAGAAGTTTTTTTATATGGTTCCGATTGGTAATTATTTTCGGATTGATTTTTTAAAAATGATCGACACAGATTTGAAATATTTGTGAAATTGATAAAATTTGAAAATGATTGACAAAAGTTGTAACATATTAAAATTAATTTTTCAATAATAGAATATAAAAATACTTATAAGTAACATTAAATAATAAGACAAAATATAATATATAAATTTTATATCCATATAATTTCAAATAAAGGAATAATCGACGTTCAAATTCAAAGTAAAATTTTTAAGAAATTTATGCTAAAAAATTAACT